TAAGTAAGAACTCTAACAGCTGCCAAAAGTCCAACTCACTACCCTAATAACAGTATTGAGTAAATCTGATATCCTATTAGTAATAGTTTGAGAATTCTAAATTCCTTTGTTAGTGATCTCTATCCTTTTTTTCATCATTTTACCATATATTTACTGATTGCCCACTGCTACTTGGCACTATGCTCAATGTTAAGGAAGTACCTATGATCAAAAAAAAAAAGATTGATGAAGTAGGGGCCGGCCAGGTGGCTAAGCGTTTAAGTGTGCACGTTCTGCTTCGGTGGCCTGGGGTTTGCCGGTTCAGATCCCGGGTGTGGACGTGGCACCACTTGGCAAGCCATGTGGCAAGCGTCTGACATATAAAGTAGAGGAAGATGGGCATGGATGTTAGCTCAGGGCCAGTCTTCCTCAGCAAAAAGAGGAGGGTTGGCAGCAGATGTTAGCTCAGGGCTAATCTTCCTCAAAAAAAGAAAAAAGATTGATGAAGTCTCTGGAGCTTCTATTCTCCTGGAGGGAGATGTACAAGCAACAAGTAAACAATTGAAGATGAGAAGAAAGTGTATTCGAGAGCGTATTAAGTACTACAAACAAAATAAACAGGGTGGTATGACAGATAAGGTGATACGATAGAGAAGATCTGATGGTTGGGGAAGTGCTCATTTTTATGGGGTTCAGGGAGAGCTTCTGTTATTAGGTGAACTGTGACCTGAAACCTGGACATGCAGAGAACTCGGGGACCAGAATTCCAGGCAAACGGCAAATTCAAAGGCCCTGTAGTAGCAACATTGTGGTTTGTTTGACGAATGGGAGCAGAGGTAGTGGGGCTGCACGGAAGTGCGCTCTGAGAAGAATGGGGCAGACAGGGCAGGGTCGAATGCGGGAGCCACACCATGGCTCAGAGGCGTAGCATGAGGTCTTGCTTTTCTTTTAAGAGCAATGGGAAATTGTTGAAACTGTTGGATTCATATTTAACGACGATGATTTTGGGCTCCTATTTGGTGAATGGAGTGTGTGTGTGTGTGTGTGTGAGAGAGAGAGAGAGAGACAATGTGGGCTGAAAGGAGACTGCCAAGAGTGAAAGCAGGGAAACCAGGCAGGAGGCTGCTGGACTGCAACAATCCAGGCAAGAAATGAGAGGGAGAAAAGCGGGCAAATGCAAGATATATTTGGAGGTGAATTTGACAACTGCTAAGGGAAAAGGGTGAGTGTGGGAAAGTGAGAGGTCCAGGTTTCTGAAGTTCGGTGCCATTTAATGGAGGGGGTCGAGTTCTATTTTGAACATTAGTCTGGAGATGGCCTGTGGGGTGTCTACTTGAAGAGGTCAAGCAGGCAGATGGAGCGAGATGTTTGGAGCCCAGGGGAAAGGTCTTAGCTAGAGACGCAAACTTGGGAGTCCATATTCTGCACAGTTCCTGGCAGACCACCCAGGCACACAGTTGGTAATTAATAAATGCTTATGAAATGACTGATTGATAACTGATGGAGAGGACAAGTGAGAATTTTGCATACTGGAGGATGGTTTGAATCTCTTGGCAAGGAGCACTCAGGAAATGCCAATAGAGTGCCAGGTGCCACGGCTGCTCCATAAATATTAATTTACAGCGATGAATCTCAGGAAAGCAATGGACTGCTATTTCAGTAACTGACCTACCTGGCTTAATTGGTGCCAGAGCCGTTGTTCAGCAGCTTGTAGCCTCTGTTCCTCACTCTCCATATCTTTTTTCCTGGTGGCTTAATTCCTGACCCAGGCATCCTGCTTTGTTCTTGATGGTTGCCTTTTTTTGCCCTCACATTCAGAGATTACTGTCATTGCTGACCCTATCCCTAATGACTGTCTCAGAAGCTGCTCTTCACAGGTCTCTGAATCTGCCATGAATCACGAACACTGAGTACCTATTATATGCCAGGCACCATTCTAGACACTTGACGCAGATATCCTATTTAGATTCATTTAGATACAAAGTCGATGTTCGCCTTTGGGTTAGACCTTAATCCCCCCGAGACAGGAAGTGCTTGGCTCTAAGAGAGGTACCTAGAAAGCGGTAGAGCAAGGACTCAGAAGAAGTCTAGCTGGGCTCCCTGCCTGGGTTTGCAAAGCTTGTTGGATTCTGCCTGCTGAATCAGTCTGTAGCCTTGAGCGACAGTGTTCCATATCGCTGTAACTGCAGACTTAACTTGGTGCTCTAAAGTGGGTATTCATCACGTTCAATAAGAAGATCCTAACCTGAGAGAGGCCCATAGTCTGGGAAGTTATTAGTCATTAGAGAAACAAGAGATCGAGTACGTTGGAGTAGCACAGCTGGGCAGGCTTGCCGGGGCAAGGGAAGAGGTAGCTGAGAGGAGAGGGTTTGATGACTAAGAAGGAGGGCAGCAGGACTGTGCATAAAAGGAAAATGTGAACTCTTGATAGCTAGCGAAAGGGTGAGATGGCAAAGAAACAGAAAAAAATCATAACTCATTGTTCAAAAGAAACAGCCTTATGGCTTTATGTAAATGTGTTAAGAAAGCTTCAATCTCTCTGGCCACACACTCAACCTGAAAGGCTTTCTGTCTTCGTTAGGCACGTCCCCTGAGCACGCAGGTGTGCCACAAGGCAAAGAGACGTTTGCTTAAACACCATCTGTAGCAGAAGCAGCCATTTCACCAGTGTCCGAGAGGAGGCTGTGCCCTCACTAGAAGGAGGCCAAGTCCTAGGAGGCCCAGCAATTTGGGCAGGAATTATTTGCAGTTAACGTCGCACAGGAGGACAAAGGGAACTGTCACCACTCCTGCTGGCGCTCATCTAGACAGCACCTGTTCTTCCAGCACACTCAACCCTTTATCGCCTGACACCTGCCTGGCTGGATGGGCCCCATGCTGCCTGCCGAGGAAATGGAACTGATGAATATCCATTTCATATTAGATTTCATGGCGGAAATGGGAGCATGGAATTTCTAGAGGCAAGCTACCAATGAATCCAGCATCAACCAGGTATAGCTTATTAATGAATCAAATTGATAAAGGTCGAAAGGTGAAAACTTGGTTTAAAAGACAGACAAGAGGAAAAAAAAGCTGCACATATACCATGTCCTTTAGCTACAGCAGAGCCTCGTGGCTTGTGGCACACAGCTGTGCTTTGCTAAGGTGTCTGTGGCATTTCCTTCCGACGTAAGTGCAACATTAAAGAGATGTGCAGTGGACCCTCAGCCCCCTGGACGTCTGAGGAGTTTCAGCCGAAGCCTAGGCAGAGCTTCTGTGAAGCTAATCTCAACCCACCCATCTCCACTGCTGACAGTCCACCTGCCTCAGAGGACAACCGACATGGTTCCAAGGATTCTGAGAAACAAACAAGTGCACTCTCTCTCTCTCTTTCTCCTTCTCTCTTTTACACACACACACTCACCCACACACATGCAGAGGTAAAAATCTTAACCATATCTCTAATTACATATGTTATGATTTTGTTCTCTTTTAATATGACACTCAAAGGTACCAAGAGGCAAGTTCTTTGGGGCATTCTCAACACCTCGACCAAAGTCAGAACAGTGTAGGCTCTCCATATGTATTTGTTGAATAAATGAACAAATGGATATTTACTGCCTCCTTGGGTTTCAAGTTCTGGTGTCCAACCGTGCCTGGAAACTTTCTATTAATACCCCTGGGAAGAGTCCTTAGTTGTATTCTAACTTTACAAATATTCTTTTTATGGAGACATTTGAACTCCTCCAGCTCCCTACACTTGGTTATATGTTTTCTGATGGAGAAATACTAAATGTAAAGTAGGACTGAAGGAATTTTTAACAACTTGTTTCTTAATTCTCACCACAAACACCCTATTTAAAGCATCTCATCAAAAAAATTGTATTTGTCCTGTTCTTCTCTTATTTGCATTTTATTGGGTAACCAAAGACAACAGTCAGCAGGGTGAGTGACAGGATAGGATAAGACTACCAAATAAAGATTTGACTCCACCCTGGATTGTTCCTTAAGGATTAGATATTTTCTCCTCTCCAGCCACATTCCTGGGATAAGAATGTCTACTCTGCATTAAAATTCAGATTACTTGATAAATCTCAATACCCTTCAATAGAAGTAAAATTTTATATAGAAACATTTATTAAACAGTGATAAGCTGGCTCTAGATGTGGGCATGTATGTCCCTAAGTCTTTGAGACAGATTAAGGACCATATCCGGTCAGTCTGCCAGGAAGTACTGATGTTCAAGGATGAATCTCAAGAATGCTGGAAATGGAGCCTTTTCCCCCTGATAAGGCAGATGTGACATTTAAAAAGATATCTGCTACTCTGTATGTAATCAAAGTCATAATAACAAAAATAAGCAAGGAGCCATGGAGCTTTGTTTGAAGGATATTAGTTTGGCTATTAAAGAAACTGGTCAATGTGACAATAGAAAATAGAGCTGTGGTGCTGTCTTTCAAATCTTGCAGGAAGCCCAGACGATAAGAGAACTAATGAGCTAAGGAGGGATAGAGAAAGTTCTGTGGGCTGGTAAGCATTTTTATGAGACGATATATTTTTTAAGCTTATCGCCAAGAATAAAAACACAGTCACTTTTCTTGGAGGGCTTTCTCTTTAATGTCAAGTAAATATTTAAAAGCATAAAGATTTGCTAAATATGGGGTGTTGAGAGTACCCAGATATTTATTATTCTCTGTATTTTCTCTGTTGGAAGCATTCTCTCATAAAAAATGATAAAAGAATCAAAAGGAGGAACAAGGAAAACAGCCAAAATACACATTTTAGGGGAGTTTACCAAGGATGCTTCATTTGCCTCTGCAATGGTTAAAAATGTGAGATATTTGATTCCAAGTTAGTTTGTTAGTATTTTTAAAATAACACCTGATTTCAAAATATAGAGTCTTCAGGTGTTAAATTTGGTGACATTCTAACAAGCGTTAAAGAAATCAACTCCCAGGAAACTTGAAAGCCCTTCAACATCAACATGGTGCTGCCAATTTATCATCTTTAACAAGGTGTATTGGAAATAGCTGAGTACTGACCTCCCCAGGACAAATGATCCTCTTGGGACGAGGGGCCTCTTGCTGTAACTGATACACTGCCAAAAAAAAAAAAAAAAAAGATAATTATAATCAGAAAACTGCAACACATACCGACATGCCTTCAAATAGTTCCATCTAAGTACATCTCAAAAACTGCAAATATTTCAAACAAAAAGCAAAGAGGATACTGGCACATTTTTAGAAGGAATGAAGTCAGATCATTTATATGGAAATTAGTCACCATGAATGTAAACTGGAAAAATTGATTTTTTTTCCTTCTTATAAGGCCAATTTAGTTTCATAATTGTTACTGGCATTGTTCATTTTATGGCTTTCTTGGAAGACTAGATGCGACTAAAATTCTTCTGAATATTTTAAAGTTGAAATTCTACTTGTAACTAAGTAGTAGGATCATATAATAATAGGATTCCTGAATTTCAATGCTGATGTCTCCTGACAGAGCAGGAAAGACGGGCATTGGAAGAGGAGGGCCCTTCTCTGCAACGTTAACAGTTATGTACAAAGACACAACTGATTCTGTGAGAGAATGAAACACCAAGTCACTGCTCTTCTCATGAGTTCCATTTTTGCCCTATCACCATGAATTCTCATCTATTTGACTATTTCCCACCCATTGTCATTCTTTTTTCTTGGGCTCTTTCATATCTTAAATAAAAATAATTCTCTTGTATCCTACTTTAAAGACAGACTTTCAGGCGTGGGCATGGAGGAAAGCAGGTAATCACATAAAAAAATACAGCTTATCAGACTATAATTTGTGATTTTTCAGACTATAACAAATGATTTTCTGCTGCTCAGCTAGTCCGGTTATTATCTCTGTTAGAAGGAAACTAGCCTATGCTGGTGCCTCTGGGTTCTACTTCCACGAACACAGAAATTGAATACAAACCTAGTTGATGTTATCTTCAGAATCTTGAGAGGGAAAAATTAATTTCAGATGGAATAATCTATGAAAAGTTAAAAACTCAGTCCTATAAACTCTTTCCAGAAAATGTAATAAGATAAGCAAAAATTTCTGATTTATTCTTAGATCTAAAAATAAAAAATAAATTTCAATGGAAGGGCAGATGGTTATGTGGAAACAGAGATGAAAATGATGGGCTGTGTTTTGTAATTATGGGTCCCCAATGCTTTCGGCTCAACGTAGTCATTTTCTTACCTAATTAGGTGTAGACTATCCAGCTTTAGCACAGAGAAGAGACTGCCTCACCCTCTTATAGATGTTGTAATGTGCCACATTTCTAAGCTTAGTTTGCCCACACTAAAGATGATGCCTGTGTCACTTAAGGACAACTGGACCCATGTATGGGAGATAGGGTGAGAGAAGGCTTCTTGTAAAAGAAGAAACGTGAGGAAGAGTTAGCCAAAGATAGAGAAATAATTGTGGACATTCCACTGACTATCACAGTAGGGCTCATGCGCTCCTTAAGCCGTGAGAGAGGCTACATGGAATACTTTATTTGTCTAGAATCACCTCCAGCACCTACTAACTGCTTTTCAGCAGGCTGTGGCTGCTAATGAGTGTGATGAGAACCAACGGGGCCATCTCTGAGAATCACAGAGTTCTAGATCTAAGGAGAATTGCAGAACACACATCTAGAGAACCCTGTCCCTTCTCTTCCCACTGTCAACGCCTCTTGAAGCCAACATTTATATGTGGGGGGCCCAGGTGGAATGGCTTTGTGAATGCCACTCTTAATGCCTCCCTTGGAGATGACAAAGGAAGCACAGCTGTTATAAGACAGAAGCATTTTAGCCAAGTGTGCCTTTGCAATTCGTATCAGCAAATATGTGAGCATCTGGTATAGACCAGATACTACAGTCAGCATTATGTACAGGCTTTGAGGATGAGTGGAGAGGAAGGGAGAAGAGAAGGCAACCAGCATACTGAGTGCCTGTCATGTGCCAGGAACAATATTATATTGAATCTTCATGAGAACTCAGAAAAAACAGCTTTGTATCATTATCATTCTCATTTCTCAGATGAGAAAACAAGTGCAGAGAAGTTAAATATTTGTCCCATGGTGTCCAGCTAAAATGTATCCTTTTGAATCCAAAGCCCTGGTTTGTTTTTCTTATGCCTCAGGTCCTTTGCACTTGCTATTCCCTCCATCTGGATTGCTCTTTCCCAAGACATCCATATGACTCCCTCTCTCCCTTCATTCAGGTCTTCCCTGGCTTGCCTGACTTGCGAGGTGACTTGATCTGGTCTGTTTCCAAATAATGATAATAAGGATAAGACTATTCAGAATAATAGAAGCTGCCATTTTCTGGGCACCTACTATGTGCTACACACCTTATGTGCATCTTCTCATTTAATCTTTCCAACAAACTTTCAAGGTAACTGTTATTCCCCCCTACCTACCCACCCGTAAAGCAGTGGAGATGCTAAGCTTTGAAGAAGCTGAAGGTCACACAGATAATATGATGAAATCAAGATTTAAAGCCTGATTTTCTGATCCCAAAGTCTGTATTTTTCAGCCTCAGCCAGTGGTTCCCTGAAGTAGATGGTTAGGAGATCCCATGTGCGGCTGCTTGTGTTAGAATCTCCGAGGAGCCACAATAAAATACAGATTCCCAGACTCTGTGTTCCCTAGCCATGCTCACTCTGCCAGTCTGGTGAGGGGCCCAGAAATCTGTTTTTTTAAAGCTCTTCAAGAGATTCCAATGCACAGCCAGGTGTGATGGCCACTGCCCTTCACCTTGCTGAAGGAAGGATCAGAGTGGGAACCTTGGAGGCAGGGAAGCGAGAGAGAGTAGTATTTTAGTTGTACATAAACGAGATGGTGAAAGTGTGAGTTGAGGTGACACTGGTGGGAGTGCAGATGAGAAGGTGGGTGATTGCAGAGAAGGACTGACCAGCTTGATTACAAATTGAATAGAGAGAAGGACGTTGAATGACTGAGAGATCCAGACGCCATTAACAATCACGGAGGATACCGGCGAAGGAACATTTCTGGACAGTTCCTCTCCTGTGTCCACAGGCTAAAGCGCAGAGCTGTGTCCTCTAGGGACCCTCTGAGCTTTAGTAAAGAGAAATGTAGTACTTCACCAGCCTCATAACTGGGAACAGTCTGAGCCAGGGGTGATTTTGAGGGGATGCTTGCAAACCCCTCAAGCCAGGAACACCTCTCCTTCCTGGTCCTTGGGCAGCACACATCATTAATTGACTATTTCTCAGTGAGCAGGTCTCAGATCCGCAAGACCTACTCAGTGCTTTTCCAAACAACAGAAGTTGGCAAATAGGCACAGAAGCCATTTGGGTTATGTGGCTGTCTATAAAGATAATGAGACGGTAACCAACTGCAATGATAGCCATATGAAAAATGGGGCCCTAAATCCTATCTTAGCTTCGAGAGAGGGCCCCAGTCCCTCATTGTCAAGGTTAGCCATAACAAAACAAACATCTGTAAAAAAAAATCTCAGAGGCACATTTAATATAACTGGAACATGTCATATTATCTGAAAGTGTCACTTCTTGAATTTTCCTTGTTCAACAAACACATTTCACAAGCAAAATGCAATGATGTATTTCACTTCTTGGGTGGTTCTGTGGGCTAAGAGGCGATATGATGGACTCTGCTTGTACAGCAATATTCCAAATATGTTCCAGGCACTCCCCAGCCCTGGGACGTCTACAGCGTACGAAAGAACTCGTAGCACTGGAATAAGCTGTTTGACGGGGGTTGGGGTGTGGGGTCATCACTCACTGAGAGGATGTTTTACTTTCTCTTCAATAAGAAAACTCAACTCACCCTCCTCTGGTAACAGAATCAACCTACTCCTTATGGACACCGAGCGAAAGCCTGTGGCCTGGGTGATGCTGAAGCCCAATCCAGACTCATCAGCTCATAAGAGACCCTGCAGGGATGGCCTCTAACAGCCACTTGCTTCTAAAGAGGGCACGTGGACCCAGGAGCCAAACCTCACCACTTTGTTGTGACATTGTGCTAGTACCACCCTGCTCAGTGCCCATGTCTTCTCAGTTTTCATAGAAAAAAACTCATAAGCATGAGTAAGAAATAGTAGGTGCTTTAGATGTCTTCTTGGCTCAAGCCCAGCTCTAGCCTGCCTCGCCAACAGAACATTCGTCCAGTCTTAATGGCGACCGACTTCTTCTCTTGTCTAATGGCACTGTGAAAGACCAGAGGATGAAGCTGTGTAGCCTTGAACCAGAAGATCTATGACATAAGCGTGCATAAGAAACACCCATGTGATGTGATAAATTACAAATCCCCCTACTTTTTTGATTCAGAAATCTGGAGTAAGGTCCAGGAATAGTTATTATAAATATTCTCCTCAGGTGATTCTGATTCAGGAGGCCTGCGGATCTGGGTTTTGAGGTTCTAAACTCCTCTTTAGAAACACACGCACGAGCTAGGACTGCTTCACCCGCTGCTGGGGAGAGTCTCCTGGGAGAGCTGTCGGCCGTAGCATCTGCCGCCTAATTGGCATTTGGTCCCTTAAAAAATAAAACCTTTCAGAGTACACCCATGGTGGTTGGCTTTTGAACTTGTCTACTTAGGGCATACAGTTCATCCAGTTCTGGTTTAAAGTTTAGAATGTAACTTTACTTTTTTTTTAAGCGAACTTGAAAATAGCTTTTCTTTCAGAGAACTGAAACCAAAGCTTTCTCAGTGACCTCATCAATGTTTTGGAGTTTGGTCTTGACTATTAAGGACTAGCTGCAGATACACGATATTTTGGGACAAGATTATTCTTTTGGGAAACAGCCCAGTAAGTGACAGCATTAGCTTCTGAGAAAGAGAGGGGAGCAGAGAATACAGGAACTTAAGGGACATCGTATGACCTCACATTTCTTCAACTCAGGACCAAGTGTCATGCATCCTTGTGGCCCACAACTCCAAGCTCACTGTCTGGCTTAAGGCAAAGACTTAATATGCATTTGCTGAATGAATGAATGAATAAATAATGCACTTTACGTAAAATACCGAGAGACCTGATTTCTAAGGTTCCTTACTCTTCTAAATTTTTAAATCAGACATTTGTGGTTGCCTTCCCAGCATCCATTTCCATCTTCCCCATTCCAATAGTACTCCAAATTTTCTAGTCATGTGTATGATATAGGATTGGTCCTCCCACCCCCATCAGAGTTTCAGTGGTGGTCCCTGCTTGCTGTAGGGCAGTTAGCATATCCCAATTCTCTGACCACAGTGACGGAGTCAAAATTGGTGACTCAGGTCAATCTGAGACTCAGTGCTAAGACTTGGCTTGAAGTGTCAGGAAAGTAAACTGTCTCTTTGCCTGTTGCTCTTGAATGAGGAGGCCTTATCCCTGGTGCTGTTGGTAGCTATCTGGGGATCACAAGGGAGGAGTCTACTAACAGCAGAGCCAAACCTAGCAGAGTAGAGCCAAAAAAGGAGGAGAGACACACTGGGTTCTGGTAATGTCATTTGAGTTGCTGGAACAAGTCAGGCCTGAAGACAGTGCCCTTAGACTTTTTGCTTAAGTCAATCAATGTGATTGAGCAGACAATTCCACTACTTGCACCCAAGAGCATTGCAATTAGCATTAAAACTCAGACACAGCTCCTTAAAGTGAATCATTATGAAGTAGACTAATTTTATTTTAGGAATAATGTCATAATTGGGACTAATGCTTCATGATAATGTTCTGATATCAAATAAGTCAAAGTTATGAAATAATGAAAGCAAAGACATACTTCTATACTTCTCTAATAATTGAATATTATGACTTTAAATTTTTAAACCTAATCCTCTAATATGGCAAAAATATACTGCATCCAGTAAATATAGGAAAGATTTCAAAGTAACAAATAATCACTAAAGTAAAAAAAAAGTGTATGATGGAAAGATGTGGATCCTATAAATGATATGCTAATGAATTTACTTCAATATCTAAAATTAATCTCTCAAAAGACGGTTTGTGATCTTTCAAAAAGAAGAGCTTGGTGATTCCTGGGGTTGGGAATGGGTTTGCCAACAGGTTATTTAAAACAAAACAAATTTCATATTCTGAAATTTGCTGGGCTTTCAGATCAGGAAAATGCTACGATTATAGTGTATTTGGATTTTAAAAAGTATCTCATGAAGTCCTGCGAGCCCTCAGTTTCCTTCTCCTATTCATCCTTCAAGACTCATGTGAAAATTTAATCTCTTCTAGAAAGTCTCCTCCAGTCCCCGGAGGTACAGTAGTCGTATATTATTACTAAAATTCATTTGCATTTTAAGTTAGTTGGTTTACATCTGCCTCTTCACTAGACTGTAAACTGGAGGAAAGTATGGACCACATTTTATTCATTTTTGATTCCTAATACTTATTCTCTGACATTCAGAAGGTATTCATTGTTCGCTGAAAGACCAAGTGAGTGGACGACAATCTTGGGATTAACGTGCAATAGCAGGAGCTTGGGAATAATATTGTCAGGTGAGTTTATAAGTGGTCCAACACCCAAACCCAAACAATTCATGGATCCAGGACAACCAAAAGAGAATTCTTTCTCAGTGGTGCTCTGTAGGTCTCTGGTCAATGTGTTTTTGATGCCACAGATGGCCTACTGAAAGCATAGGTCCCTCAGTTTTGGAGTTCCACATCACTAGAGGCCCTCAAATAGAAACTGGATGACAATTAGTTAGGTGCAATAGAGAGGAATTTCATTTATGCCATTAGGTTTGTAACAAATGACTTCAACCATCCCTTCTGCATCTGAAGTTTTATGATTCTAGAACAAATTTTTAAAAAACCCCACAACTGGGTTAGACCCCCAAATCAGACTTAAAACCAATTTTACTCTAGGGTAAAATTGATACTGTGAACATATAATTAGCAAGGTGTTTTCTAGCTTCCTTAGGACACAGAAGTACATTTAAGAGATATATTGGGTGGCCCAAGGTCTCTTTGCAAAAGGCGAAATGAATTTGAGCCAATGCCATTGTTTTGCTTCAGTAAAGCTCTCTGCGGTGGCATTCACTCAACAAATATTTATTGGGTAGTTAATGTATGCAAGGCTGTGTGCAAGGCAGTGTGCAAGGAATAGTAAGTCATGGAACACCCAGCACCTCTCACTACAGATATTTTGTTGATTTACTGTCAGAGCACTTCACACTCCATTAGGAAACAAACAAACAAAAACATCCAATTACTAAGTCATTAGTACTGCCTTTTAAAACAGAAGATCAGAATGCAGAACATTAGAGTGGAAGGGCCCTTAGAGACCCAGCACCGCCCCTTTATTTCACAGATGGAAGAACAGACTCCTGTAATGAAGAACGAGGTACCTCTACATATGCTGACATGGAAAGATAGAAACGATATTTGTGAAGTGACATGAGCAAGTTGAAGGTCACCAAGTACAGCATAAACCTATTTTTACAAAAGAAAATAACAACAACATAATGCCTTAATATAAAGCATGTGTATTTTAAACACGTAGAAGGATATGCCTCCCAAAATTGACAGGGGTCAGCTACTAGGGAGCAGGAAAGAGGCGTGGAATACAGAGTGGGGGCTAGTTTGTGGATTACGGGAAATTTTTACTCTCAGCTTTACGTATTCCAGTAGTTTATTTTTTAATGTAGCTTTGTATTGCTTTTGTAACAAACATATATATACATAGGCATATGTATATACATGTGTGTGTCTCTGTGTGCATGTGTATACTTATTTATGTATTTATGTACAAAATTTTAAATAGAAAGAAAAAAAGTCTTGGAGACTTGCAGGCTGTGGGTCAGACTTGCTTCTGGGTTCCACTCTGAATGCCGCTCCAACGCTTTTTGTAAAAGCTTTGCCAAGTTACTGAACCTCCCTGAGCTGTGGTTTCCTTGTATGCGAGATGGAGATAACAACGGTACCCGTTGCTTAGGACTGTGGTGAGAATTTGAGAGTTCAAGCGCACAGTTGGCGCAGTAGCTGGCCCACAGCAGGTCTCAATGGGCATAGAAACAAGGGCAAGATCAATAACAATTGCAAGAATTATTCTTATTGTTGCTGCCTAGAAGTAGAGCCTGAACAAGAACTGTGTCCCTCGGCTCTGAGCCCAGTGGGCTTCCATCCTACCACACTCCTCCCCCCTCTAACAGGAGAATTACTTAGTCAGGCAGATGACACTGAGGAAAGAGACAATAAACTTGAGGTGATGACAACTGCCTGCCTTCCTGAGGGGAGTTGAACTGGTGGCTGATGATCAGATAATGATGTCTGTTTCTAAGGAGTTGCCCTTAGTGATCAAACATAATTCTGTGCTATATTTTTGCTAATTTTTTTTGTGGTAAATCTCATATGATGTTACAGCTTTAGGATGATTGGCCAAGAACAGAACTCATGGAAGTCAACAAATTTACCCTTGCTGACCAACTGTGGAAGGAAGGAAGGGAAGGCAGGAAGGAAGGAAGAGAAAGAAAGAAAGCTCTCAATTGAAAGGTAGAGAGTCAGAGTGTACATTTCCTTTTTTCTAAGCATTTCTGAAGTGGGTCACAGGCAGCCAGCTCTCGAGGGTCCCTGCCAGGGGAGAGTGCTTTTCTAGTCCCCTCTGACCAACATCTCTTGTGAGTGGAAAAAGAAGGATTTGGGTGATCAGTGCTGTGATGTGGGACCGCTTATGTGCACTAAATCAATGGCAAGAATTGTTCAAAAGGCAAGCCTGCTGGAGACTTCTGAGGACATTATCATTTCAGATACTCACAGTACGATTTCCATATCGGAGGCTGGTATTCTTCGGCATCTAGAATAAAAAGAAAGAAATCAATCCGTCAGCCTGCACGTCAAACTGTCAACATGCGTCTTCTCTGGAGGAAAAAGTCTGTCAGCAGTACTTGGTTTCTGGCCTCAGGGGGCCTCTCCGCTCATTTATGGGACAGTTCCAGGCACGAGGGAGGAAATGTGCATGGCAACCCTGTGGACCCAACACCACTGTCTTCAGATCTCTTACATGACAGAATCAATTGCTTAGCCATTTTCATAGAGCCCAGTAAATCAAAAAAGATTTTTAAAGCAATTAACTTGATTGTCCCCTCCAGCAATCCTTTCAAACAGTATTTACTTAACTTGGCATAATAAACATATAATTTATCTCACAGTTTCCAATCAGACCTTTAGCCTATTTATTAAGACTTGAGGGCAAGACGCCGAGTGGCAAGTATGTAATATTAAATCTGGGAAGTTGTGCAACTCGACCAACTGAACTCCTAAAATACTAGGTCTGACAGTAGAGACACTGATGATTCAATTGGAATCACATTATCTCCTTGAATTTACTGCAGTGTGTGAATTCGGAAATTTCCAGAAAACCACTCAGCAATCAGAAGTGTCAGAGTGAAAGAGTTACAACAAAATGGAGAGGACAAAATTGTTATTCATCAAGCTAGAAAACAGACAATGGGAGGAACTCTGCTTGTTCAGTCGACTCAACAAGCCTCGCGCTGACAGCTGAATTTATAATTCTGGCGGAGCGATGAGAGTCTTCCTGAGCTGGTAGCTGAGGCCTGGGTAAAATGTACTCCAGCTCGAACAGCCGGAGGGGGAAACACTTTTCCCAAATCACAGAGGGTTGAGCTGTGGGCACCTTAACAGCTCTCTAATTCAGCTCCTTCAGATGAGGAGACTCTGCTTTTTGTCGTCTGCACTCCACGCCATCACAGAGCTGTCCTTACCCTGTCCTTGTCCCTGCGCGGTCACATCCTACTTTCATGCAAGGGAATAGAACTTTTCTAGCCTCATCCAGTAAGATAATTTGAGAATTTTTCCCCTCCTGAGAAACAAATATGCTACTTATAAATATGAACTAACATGAGTAGTGAACTTCCCCAAATCCTACTCAATTACACAAGGGTAGCTTAAAATAGATTCTTTCACAATTAATATCTTGCTCTCTGGGGCCCTACTAGCCCAGAGGCCACTAAATGCCTCCAAAGGTAATTTCACACAAATAAATTTATATCGTTAGGCCTGGGTAGTCAGGTCCCTACCTATGGATAATGAGCTACATAGGCACACACACAAATACAGTGCTTTAATAACGGTTTATGTTGTTATTCCAACTTAGTTTGCCGAATAAAAGTGAAACTCAATACTTTTGTCGAAGTAAGAGAACAGTATCTTGTAATAGTGAGCTTTTAACCTAAACGTGCAATTAATTTCATCCTTTATATGATACAAACCAATTTTAGTGGGTTAACATGAGTGTTTATAAAGAGCATTCAAATAAAATAAATCAAGTTGCCAAGTTTACAATAAAATTCCAGAACCACCCATACAATGCCACCTCACCAGAAAAGCCGGGTCCTGTATGTTAAATGTTGATGACATCTTCTAAAATTTTTTTTCAAAGATAAAGATCAGCACGCACACACACACACAAACACACACACGACAGATTGCATGGAAATGCAGATCCCCGAGATGTCATCTCTACAAAGTTGTAATGTATTGTGATTTTGGATGAGATTTATGCTATGAGGTCAGCACAACTCCCAGACCAAGAAGTGCTCTAGATGTTCACCACAACTTTCTGCAGAGTGCAATTTTCCACGTGCTGAGGAAAGGTACCCCCCGCAAAAAAGACGTCATCTATTTTATGCAGGTTTTTAAGTATAGTTGAGACGCTCACCTTGAATCTCCTAAGGTCTTCTTACCTAAAGTTAGAAATTTAGATTAGATAACCCCTCACTGTCTGTTAAGTCTTCTTGATCTGTGAAAAACCTAGAATTCTGTTTCCTCTGAAACACTGGCTCTTAGCATTTTAACTTTAGTCCAGGCTGCCCTGCTTGCTGCAGGAACAATTTATCCCTTTCCAGTTGTCTCTTGTTGACAATATAACATAGAGGTAAAGAAAGTTGCCTAGAGAGACTGGAGATCTTAATGCTCCCTTGCTTAAAACCCTCCAAAGTCTTCCCTTCGCATTTGGTTTAAAGTACAAACATCCTACTACGGCCTACAAGGCCCCATGTCATCTGGTCCCTGCCACCTCTTGACTCCATTGCAGACACTTTTCCCTTTTCAACTTATCATCCAACCACACTGGCCTTCACTCTGTTCCTAGAACAAGCCATGTTCTTCCCAGCCCCCGGCCTGTGCTCTTGTGGACTCTCCATGTACAATGCTCTCCAACAGGTCTTGGCATGGCTGACTTGCTCCATCACGTAGGGTTCAGCTCAAATGTCACCTCCCAGGGGCCTTCCCTGCCAATCTTGTGTGAAGTGGTCTTCCCCAACCCCAGTCACTCTCCTCCACAGTGCTTATTACCATCTGAAATTATTTATTGATTGGTTGCCTTGCTATTACTGGTCTCATCCTACTATAAGCCAAACTCCATATAAACAGGAATTGCCTCATTCACGTCTGCCTCACCAGCCCTTAGAAGGGTGCCTGGCATATAACAAACATTCAAAAGACATGTGTTAAATAAATGAATGGACTCTCAGGGTTCAAGTATCACCTCTGACAATTACTGGCTGAATAACTCGAAGTAGGTTACTTAATTTCTTTTAAGGGCCTCCCAATACTCATCTTTATAAAACAGAAAAAATAAAAGCACCTATCCCATGACTTGTCTCCTAGGGTTACTGTGAGAATTAAATGAGATAATATATATAAAATTCTTGAGACAGCACCTGGCAAAAAGCAAATTCTCCGTGAAGCCCCACTTACGTTGTCAGTGCGCTGTGGTCAGTGTTCATCACCCTTTCCTGGCTCTTCCCAGGTGAGCTCATGTTCTTGTCCTCTCTCCCTTGACCACAGCCAATGACTGTCTCTATTCTTGCCCCCAGATCTGGAGCCTGTAATTAAGTTCCAGTGCTGTTGTCACGGAATATTTTTCCTTCTCATAAAAGAATTCAAAGCGAGAGGCCATTTGTCATGCTTCAGTGGAACAACTATAATTACCTTGGTCTTAGAGACACGTTTCACAAACCACTAAAGTGCACTGTTAGGAGGCCTCGGCCAAGCGACACGGCACAAAATACTTTTAATATGTCGAAACAAATCTTCAGCAGCCTTCAACACCGCCCTACCAACATGCACCTTTGCCTCCACTGTATACAATATTTTTCAAAGATCTACTTCAGTCTTGGATAGCCTGACATTTTTTTTTCTAACCTGGATTAGGTTTTCTAGGTCATTTAGTTCATCTTCCTCATTTGCCAAATGAGGAAAATGAAATGCAGAACGATTAAGTGGCTTCTCAAGGTCATCAAACAAGTGAGAGGCAGAGGTGGCATTAGAGCAGAGAGCTCTGCCTTCCAGGCCTCTGACACATCAGTCACCCTCGGCAGGCAGTCCCCCCTAATGTACAGAGACTGAAATCCGGAAAAAAAGGATTGTGTAACAGATTTGTTACTTCAATTCTCGTGCAATTCTTCAAGCTTTTTCAAAGCTTGAAGGGAAAAATAAAACAGAAAAGAAAGAAAACTAGCAGTATGAAAATCATCCTCAAGTCAAATGGTGGGACAGTATTCCACCTATGCGCATCCCTCCATCCAATAGCTAAGTCCAGGAGGGGCAAGTTACCGAAGCACCGACACCACGAGGCATAACGCTTTTGGGAAGTGTATTCCTTTGTTAAATATTTTAGAGAGACGGGTATAACGCAGAAGGGAAGGAGACGAAGAGAACACAAGCAGCTCCACGTTCTAAGACAAAACTGGCACTGAACCCAGGAGACAGTTACACATTTTTTGAAAGGAACCATAAATTATAAGGGTCAATGAGGCTTAGAAAATATATTCCTTAAAAACATTGACTAATATGTATCCAAACTTTAAAACATGTGTAAATCCTTCGACTCAGCAATTCTATTCATGGGAATTCAGCCTAAGGTAGCAATTGTACACCCACAAAGATGGATATATGAACAAGGTGTTCGTTGCTGCTTTGCATATCATAGTGAATGGAACAGCCCAGAAAGAAGAGAGTGATTGAATAAATTATCATATATGATAGCCATGAAAACGATGGTGTGGGTCAGAGCTTTGTGGTCAAGAGTGTGGCCTCTGGAGCTTGACTGTTTACCTTCAAAACCTAGCTCTGTCACTAAGTAGCTGTGTGACCTTAGGCAAGTTATCTCACCTCTCTGTGCCTCAGGTTTTTAATCTATAAAATGAGAGTAATAATACTACCCAACATGTAGCATTTTGTGAGGATAGGATGGGTTAATATGTATAAAATACATAGTGTGCTGCCTGGCATGTAGTAAACTCTTTTATCTGCTGTTATTATTATCTGTCTTTAATGATATAGAAAAACATCCATGCTACATTAAGTATTAGACAACTTGTGTTACAAAACAATTTATTAAATATGATCCCATTTTGGGGGGACATTTACTTACTTTTTTAATATGATCCCATTTTTAAGAAAAGATAAACATTTATATACATAGAAATTATCCATAAGACTATAAAAACCCAATTATTAACAGTTGCTATAGACGATAGTGAAAATAGAGGTGACTTCTATTTTTCTGTTCTTTTGCGTACCTGCATTTTCTAATTTTATGTTCACTTTGCTTGCACAAAAATTAAAATGAATGGGAAACTAATTAATGGAAGTGCTAGGTGTTTTCTTTTCTTTTTTTTTGAGGAAGATTGGCCCTGAGCTAACATCCACCATCAATCCTCCTCTTTTTGCTGAGGAAGACTGGCCCTGAGCTAAGATCTGTGCCTATCTTCCTCTACTTTAAATGTGAGATGATTGCCACAGAATGGCCTGATAACCAGTGCTAGGTCC